TGTCTTTTATCAGTCTCAATGTTGACGTCTTTTATTAGTCTCAATGTTGACGTCTTTTATTAGTCTCGATGTTGACATCTTTTGTTAGTCTTTTACTCGTCATAACGCTGACGTCTTTTTCTAGTCGGACCACTGACGTCGTTTACTTGTCAGGATGCTGACGTCTTTTGGCTTTGCATATACGACTCAAAAAAGACATTGATAAGACGTCAATATAAGACGTCTTTAAGACGTCATAACGACGTCTCGTGCCCACTGGGAAATGGTCACAAGGTCACTGTAAAAATATTAAAAGGAATTTTCAGGGGTGTGAGTGGCCTTTTACATTAAAGCTGAAAACAGCTAGCAAAAAGCTGATTTGTAAAAAGTTCCCATACTTTTGTACACACCAGGTGTACAAAAAAAGCTAAAATTCAGGGTCAGTAATCAATTTCTAAACAAAAAAAGCTGAATTCTCAAACCCCTGAAATCAAATAATTTTTCAGACTTCCCGCCCAGCAAAACCTGTATGCATTCATTTAACAGCACTGCAAAAGGAAGGAAAATGAGAAAACAGGTATAGGTATAGGTATACTTATTGAAGTAAAACATCTGTATTATGAAAAGCACCCGAGTCTAGCCTGTCAACATCCCCCTCCAACATTTTAAATTTCACAGCTGGGCAATTGTTCAATTTTTTACACGTACATCCCCCATCTCCATCAACCCTTTCCTAGTGCAATTTTATCCAACTAATTATGCCATACCTGACTGTGCTTGCAAAGTACTTGAGTTGTGAATTTATTTCAGAAAAATGAACTAATCCATTAATTTTAGGAAAATTGTCAAAAATGCAATAAAATACATGTATTTAACTGTTTTACGTGTACTTGTTGCAAACCATTCAAATTAAAATAGCTAGTAACACTGAACTTCCAATAAATTGTTGAATAAGCCCTCTACTGTCTGCATATCATATCATCTACGGTACGCGGCACAAGTTGTGCCTGAAGAATTGTATGAGAGAGTACGCGTACTTACGATCACTGTTTCTCTGCCTGTTCTCTCAATTTCCACATTTTTTTTATTCTTATTGTGAACTTTTCCATAGTTAAAACTGTGACAATTTGATTATATGGAGACGTCTGAATTCACTTTATCATGAAATTTCAACAGAAAAAGAAAACATTTTGGCAAAGTTCACAGTCTGCTACAATGGGAGTCAGCTAAAATATCTTGGTCACAATACATGTAACAAAAGACACAACACAAATTTGTGTCTTAAAATGATGATGCCATATCTAATGAAAGTAATTCCCATTCAAATATTCCCACCATAATGGTTAAATTTCAAAATTGTTAAAAAGGTAAAAAATCAAACGCAGTCAGGTGACACAAAAAATGTCTGTCCATTTTCAACTTTGCAAGATGATACCTCATTTCCATAAAGTACTGGGTTTATTTCTTACCTTGTTCAGTCCAAGCACTCAGCATACTTTGCTTGTTGTCAACATCTGAAGATGGTGAAGCATTTATTATCAAACTTCTCTCATTGTCTAGGGTTTCACTACTTGTGCTAGATGATGGTGGTGTGTTATCATCTAACACTCTCTTTGGTTTGGGCAAGACTTTTGGAGATGGTTTGGTATTTTTCAAGGTTAATGTTGAATTGGAAGACGACGATGAGGTGGATGATTTCATTGTGCTGGTTCTGCCATCATCTTCATCCTGCTCAAAGATGTCGCTACTTGGCTCAGTTGACAGGGTGCTGTAACTGGACATGGTTGACATGGAAGACATAGAGGAAACCACACTGGCTGAGTCAAATGATCGCTCTTGCCGATGGTCAACAAGGGGAGGTACATGTAACTGAGGAGATGAATCTGATTCACTGCACCCATTGGGTTGACGGCTTTCAGAACTTAGGCTCCCCATCATAGCGGGTGAAGTCGTGACAGAAATATCTCCTTCATTCTCTTTGACCGGTGACAATGGGTGTTTATAGGTATCAGGCTTCTGGTTTTTCTCAAAGTTGTATTTTAGAGCTTGAACAGAGGCTTCGGTATCCTGTAATGCTGTAAGACCTTCAACAGTTTTGTCTCTGGGTGATTGTGAAGTAGGGCTAGTAGATTTGCTACTTTCTCCACGTGGAATAATCTTGATAACATTTTTATGACCACCAAAAGAATTCACTGGTTCTTTGACTGGAGGTTTGCTGGCTAGGCGAGACTGCATCACAGCAGCTGCTTGAGCTATGTCAGTTTCTTTGATACTTGATGCATGTTTGTGTTCTGTGGTGTCCTTTTTGTCTGATTCTATTTTAGTACTACCCTCTGAACTTGTTGACTGAGAGTCACTGTCTTCAGACATCTGTTTCTCAATTGTCGATCGTCGTTTTGCAATTGCTGTCAAAAGAGCTTGATTAGCCGAGTTTCCTTTCGCAGAATCTGCCTGCTTGTATTTGCGGATTTTACTTTCAATATTTTCACAAGGGTTTTTACTTGCATCCAAATGTGCCTTTCGTCTAGCTATAGCTTCATTGAGAGCTAACTGTGGTGAGCCCTGTGAAGCTGTTTCTGCATTCTGATTTCTGTTCTGATTCTCCCCACTCAGACTTAGCTCTCTTGCAGCTAGTGCCAGCTGTAGTGGTGTTTTAGATTCCAATGCATCAAAACTGTTTGCTTTCCGTAGTTTCTCCCTTTTAGCGGCAGCTGCTGCAATCGCATTTGAAAAGTCAGAATTGACAGTTTCAGGAACAGAGGATGATTGAATCTCTGCATATAGTGGAACATCAAGAGAAGATGGTCTGGCTGTTTCTACTGAAATTGACCTTGACAGGTTTTCTTCACTGATTGACGAATCTCTACGAGGGACAGGTGGTGGGGGTTTGCCTGGACGTTTCTGACCTGAACTCATTCTCCTCTCATCCATAGATGAATCACTCCGTAGACTGTGGAGGGACTGCGAACGAGCTCTAACATTAGGATGTTTTGGAGCAGGATAGCTGGGTGCAGGTGGAATGGATGGAGCAGGGTAATCAGGAGCTGGTGGTACTTGAGATAAACTAGAGTCCACTGGAGAAGTAATATCAGATGGAGTTCGGTCTGCCCTTGTGTACACTCCACTATCGTTGGATAATGTTGTTGTGTAGGAGTAAGATGATGCTGGGGAAGAACGTAGTGAAGATAAAGCAGAATCTGATCCTGCTGAATACCTTCGTTTCTGCTTGTCATACATGTCCTCATCAAACTGTGTCTGAGTTTCCATGGTGACTGTGTCTATGGGTGACACTGCAGAAGCTGCAGAGGGGAGATTTGTTTTAGTTGACGACATCCTGGCAACAGTGTTAAATCGGAATGCTGAGGGTGCCAAGGGAATGACAGGCTTCTTTAAGCTGGCTCTGTGATCATCCTGACTTGGGGTGCTGGTGCTAGGGGCACTTTCTTGTCTATGGAAAATGCCAGTTAGATGTTCTGGACTGATCTTTTGAGAAAGGGGTCTCTTGCGAATGGAAGCAAATGGTGACTCTGTCTGGTCATCAGCTGGCATCTCGGCTTTTGCAATGGCCTCATCTAATTCATCTGCAAATAAGGAAAAGATGATGTCAGAATGTAAGTCCACCAATGCCATCTCTGAGTAATGTTAGCTAAAATGTTGACTGTTTTATGAAAGTCAAAATGTAACACCGCATTACCAGCTAACGTACACATAACTTGTTTCTAACATCCCTGGAATATCAGGCTTTGATAACATTGGCTGAAGTATAAAGATGGTATGAATGCCTAAATGCAGTGCTATAACCTTCCCAAAAATTGTTATTATCCAGAGATCATTGTGGTAATTAGGGATCAGAATATGCATGCCCATCTACAGGTACAGTGCACATTTCCTCTCAAAGCAGTCCTCTTATCCACCCATACATTCCTTAGTTGTATTAGGTGGGCATTTTACCCTGGTAACACGCTGGGTAGCAATCCGTTTGTGCTACACTTGCCGGTATTTTTGTAAAAAATTTTGAAAAGTTCATGCATATTGTTGCAACGAAGAACATGCAATTAAAATTGGGCTTAAGAAGCCTTACATTTTTTCCCAGTATAAAACCAGCATTTCAACATTTGTCCAAATCATACAGAAATCTTGAGTAAATACATAAGGCCAAAAGAAGTCTCCAGTTTCTGGTCACTGCGCAAGTCACCGTGGACCTGCGCGCTGGCAAAATAAAAACTTTTTTATTTCGCATAAAATGATTTCCAAAAGCTGCCCAACTTACTTGATCGGAAGGAATTCTACTACCGCGTAATTTTAACATGTTTTTGATAGGTGGGGTTGAGTAATATGTATGGTGAAGGAATCCCCCGGCCTCCATACATTTCAGTCTGGCACTCTCATCAGAAGACGTCATTCATGTAAAACTTACATGTATCTTTACACGAAGGCCGTGTCCGATGTACATACATGTACATGACATATGCCTGCAGTGCATGCAGTGACGATGGACATCGCCTTATGACAACCATATGTGTAATGACTCATGTATCGTCACTTGCAAAGAACGAAGGTAGATTAGAGTGAGAGGAAATTTAATTTTCTGAGCTGAATTTTTTTCCCCAATATTTTATATGCAACAAAAGCAGAAGACAATGTGCAAAGAATGTCATATACTGCTGCTTCATGAGAATTTCATTTAAAAATGGAAACTGGAGCAGAACATTTATTTTTCACATTTAATTTTTCCATTGTGCTTGTGCTACTGTATTTTAACAAGCTCAATCCTGCCAAGAATAGAAGCCTTTTTTTGAGTGAGATGAAAGAAACCATTGCCTCACATCATATTTTATGGTCTTTTTATTAATTTCAAAGTTGTAAATTCACAGTTCTCGAAGTAACAAGGCCATGTGCACTACAGTATATGTGCATGTACATCACTTCTAGGGGAAAAAAAGAGGGGAAAAAATGTATCACTGCACCAATTTTGGACCAAGCCCATGACCAGAAACCGGAGTGTTTTTTTTTGTGGGGGGGCCTACATTTAAATACTCTTATGTCTACAATATATGAGACACAAAATTGTATGAACTAATGGATAAGCAGAAGGGAAACATGACCCTGTGATTGTTCCAGTCTAATCAATACACACTGAAATACATGTACATGTCGACTGCTTCATACATGTATTTCCTCTTTTTGCCAACAACCTCTGACGGTTGTATGAATATTGCATCACTACTTTGTTTTGTTACCTTTAACCACTACCAGCCGGGGACTCCGAAATCGGAGCCGTATGGTTTATATGTGTGGCCGGGGTCTCCGACCTCAGACAAAGGAAACAGGGCCCTGTAACAAAAGACCATACTCCGAACAAAAGACCAGGCTGCTGGGCATTACCGGCATTTTTCACTCTCAAAAGTGGTGATAGTCCAGCGTTATTTTGAAACCGTATACCAGGGTTTGGGGCATTTAGAACAAGCGGATTACCACCGGGGACAAAAGCTCTCCACCACCACAGCGATGAACCACACAGCACCGCTGCATGCTAATCTGGCCCCTATTGAAAAGAGGTCAGCAGTGCACTGAGCCAGGTTCATGAACAAAAGACAGTTGTATAACACCGCACAATCTGGGCTCTGTTTACAAGGCTGCAGGCCTGGCTGAAATATTCGGGCGTCAGTGAAGGTCACCTGTCAACTTAGAGTAGTGCCTAAAGATTACTCCTGCGGCTATAAATGACTGTTAAATGGAATGATGAATTGTTGAAGGATTTTGAAAACGGAAAAAATGATAGCCATGCCGGCCCAGCATCATCAACGTTGAAAAATGCCCCAGCACGAAGTGGTTAAAGATCACTCCACACAGTTAAATTTCCATGTCACTGCTTAATGTCAACAAAACATTCATAAAATGATTTCAAATGTTCCTCCAGGGTTCTGGGAAGCAGACCTCATTCTGAAGGGGAAATATACATGTAAATAGCAGTACCGGGAATCAACAACTACATGTACATTAAGAGTCTACCAACCATTTGAACCCAAACTAACGTCAAGCAATGCCAAAGGATGATTACAAGTGAAAGGTACATGTACATGTATGATTCTCAAGAAAGAAAGCAGGAAGAGAAATAAGTATACCAGGCCAGATATGGGACGGAGGAGTACCCATCCTTACCTGTCCAATCCCTGTACACACTCTAGACTATTGTTACCTAACACATCCCCCCCAATATGTCTATAAAGAATTCCTGAGATTCCGATCAAACAATGACCAACACACAAGGGCAGGGGGGTTCACTCTGTCCCATATCTTGCTTCAAATGGAAATAAGGATCTCGGGTGAAATCCTTACCTAGAGCCTGCATTTCCAGCTGTGCCTTCTCTGCTTTCATTTTTGTCAAGGATGGCTGAGACTGTGGAGCTGCATACAGGAATAAATTGCTTTTATCAATGTCAAACTCAATAAAACTACTCTATGTACATACATGTACTTCTTCTGCTTTAAGGCATGATTCTGATTCATTCATTAACCACTTGCCGACGGGCACCATGGGTTTATACGCAGAGCCAGGCTGCCCAAAATTAAACAAAAGAGCTGGTCTGTGTAACAAAGACCGTACTCGGAATAAAAGACCTGCTGCTGGGAATTGACATCATTTTTCGGCTTGCATTTTTCGAAGGTAATCCATCACTGTTTTTTAACAGTATACCACTGTTTTGGGCATACCGGCAGAGCGCCCGCGGATTAGCACTGCAGACAAAAGTGCTCCAGGGCCCCACTGACGAGCGACACAGCGACACAGCACCACTGCATGCTAACCTAGCCGCATTTGAAAAGATACCACTCACATTCACTAGGGACAAAGGAAATTACGCAACACCTCACAATTCTGGGCTCTCTGTACAGGGTGGCAGGCCAGGCTGAAATACTCAGGACTCAAGGTTGCCTGTCAGCTTAGAGTAGCCACCAAACATTATTTGTGTGGGTGTAAACCCCCATTAACCCCTTCGCACCGGAAGCCGTCGACAGTTGTGGCTTTGTGTGAGGATTAGTGTATATCACACATACATACATTCTATTCATCATGCAGCTGCAGTTTCAATGTAGCCCTGCAGCTGGACAGACCTTTGCAAACTGGGCATACCAAAGCCTAACAGTCACGGTCAAAAGAATCGCAGCATTAAGGGGTTAAATGAAATGAATTTTTGAAAAATTTTGAAACTTGAAAATCTCTTGCATGACTGCACTGCATTTTTAAGCACCCAGTAGCAAGTGGTTAAGAAAAATCAAGTCTTAACATAAGTGCCCTGCCACGCTCATGCATTAACCCATAATTTTAATTTTTGGATCACAAGAAATGTTGGTCTACATTGCTTCAACAATTGTGACCTTTACCCTTGACCTCCAAAAAACAGCTTGTAAAATTAAGCCTGTTCGGCATTCATTTCCTTTTATATTGCGATATCATGAAAAAATATTGCGATATCCGATATTATCATGATGACGTCATTTTCCATTCATAAACTAAACATGACCAAAATCACCACTAATTACCTATGGCCTATGTATTACCGGTATCTCTACATGTAGAACTCTTACATGTATATGCTGGTGGAAAGCAAATTTTTAACATGGAAATTGTGGACATTAAATTATAATATATCATGGCAACATGGAAAAAGCCATTTTCACGCACACATTAGCGGTAAAGTTTGCTCAATAAGGCAACCCCCAAAATGGACAGAGCACATGTGTGTTACTAGGGGGGCTACTGGTATTGACGCCTCACTTCATTTCTAAGTTGGCATGTCTAAGTTGTTATTCATTTCTCATAGGTTGGCATGTCTCACTTGGTCCCTTTTCTACAAGACCACAAAAATCCTTCGTGTAAGTCAGCATTAAAAAAAAATTGCACTTCGGTATCGGTGTATCGGTTCGGTGTCAAGCGACAAGCCCCTCACTGCTCGACTGACGTCTGTTTATTAACAGCACATGGTTGAGTACATCAATACCAGGGACCCCTCTCGAGCCGCGGGCTATTGAGGGAACTTAACCACCGTGCATGTACGTAGGCCGTTTTCCAATACTCGACTTCGGCTCCGTCTCAGGCTTCAACTGTTTTTTACTACCTGACTTTGAAGTTGTAAGCACAATAGCAAGTTTGATAGTGGCACAAAACACCAAGTAAGATGCAAAAGAGCCACACATTACAGTTCTTCAATTTAACTGAAATGCTTAAGGCCCACAATCAACAATTTATTTTGGAGATGAAGCCTGAGACGGAGACTAAGTTGAGTATTGGAAAACAGTACGTGAAAGGCATGGTACAACGAATTTCACTTTTGAGAAAGAGAGCAGACTTGGCTGGAGTTTACTGTACAACACATTACACATGCGTACAGTCTGTTGGTTTGGTTCAAGGCCCTCGCAGCTGCTTGGGGCCAACACTGACTTTGTGGTTTGAGGTTTTCAATGGAGTATTCGTATGGCCCAAATGCAGTAATGCAAGGCTCAACCCGCAGTGCATTGATTTCCGTGTGTGCATGTACAGTACATTGTTTGGAGCTTATCGGAATAATTTTCAGCACTTCGATTTGCACGGTATCCCGATATGTGTTTTTAGGAATGATACGATATCCAATATCAACATCATATCGAAACATCATGAAATATTGTCATTTCGACAGGCTTATGTGAGATTACCACAAGCAACTCTTATGCATATTTTCCTATATTTCTAAAGTTTAAACCATTATAACCTTGACCTTTGATCTTTCCCGCCCAAACACAAGAGACTCCTTGCAATCACAAAGAACAATCCATAAACCAAAACTGACAACTTGGTCCTGAAGTTCCTAACAAAAGAAACTGTCTCCTTAATGTTGTGAAGGCCCTCTCGCACATGCACAGAAGTATTATTTGTCCATAATAAGCCTTTTCCAATTTATATTTAAATAAGTGCAAAAAGTTAAAGGTGGGAATGCCCTACAAAAACGACATACATGCACAACTTTCACCAAGGCCTTTTCCTACCATCTGTAATGATCAATACTCATTTGGTGTAACAAACCCTTCTTTTGATTACAAAAACCTCCTAACTGTTCAAAGTGACAGTATTTTGTACTCACGTTTCTTTCGAAGAGAATTTTTCTTAGCTTCATTCAGCCAGACCAGAGCTTTGGAATTAGGAAGTGTAACAACCTTCATTACGATGGTATCTGGGGAATTAATGACTAGGCTGACCACATACTGGTGAGGAGCAGTAGAAACATCTTGTCCATTAATCTGATGTAAAAAAAAATAATCATCAAAATGTGATCAGAAGTGCTTAAATTTGGTGATAGGTTTGCCTCTGAACTTGGAGCAACTTCATGCACGAGTATAATACAAATTCTGATTTCCTCACAAAATATCAAGAACAATATGTGGATAATGCTCTCTTTCATGAATGGTTTCAGTTTGAACCAAACTTCAGGAATATCGGAATCTAAGACTTTTGCTTTAGAGCTCATTTCAAGATTACACTACATGTATAGCCTAAATGCAGTTCAATACAAAGTACAAGAGAATATAAACTTCTAATTTATTTAAATGTATTATGAAATATTGAGAGTACAGTGTATGTACATGTACATGTACCTCCAAGACAAAGTCTCCCCTCTTGAGACCAGCTTTATCTGCAGGGCTTCCTTTATCTACATGTTCTAGATACTGTAAAGCTGGAAATTCCTTAGTTGGTTTGAATGCTGATGTAGCACCTTGAGGACCTAAGTGTAAAGACATAACAGTCATTTATTTCACACTGAAATAAATATGGATATATTGGATAATATGGATATCTTAGAGGGATTATTTCACAGCAGAAGACTTTGTTTTTGTAAAGAACTGGATAAACAACACATCAATGTACCTGTAACATCACCCACATGAGATGTTAGTTCTGTTGATAGTGACCCTCATCAAGTCAACATAGCACACCACCTGAGTTTAGTGTTTAGGCAAACATTTGAAGTGTTTGCGTATGCAAGTATTGTACTTTATTTTTGTTAGGCACAATCAGTAGATTTATGCTAAGTTTCTGTCTTTGATTGTAGAGGCATCAATTATTTTTTCTTAAAAAAAGTTGCCCCATGGACCAAAAACCTTGTAATCCAAGTTTGAAAAAGAAACTGCCTTACACGAAAAATTCCTACCATCAGAGGTGGAAAATGTACTAAATTTAACTTACTTTTTGCACCTCGCAAGATAAATCCAAAACCTTTCTTCTTTCTCTCTACAAACACAACTCGAGGTTCTCCTTCCTTTGTTTGTGTTGTTAAACTGGAGAATGAAAAACAAGTGAACAACAGGTTTAAAATAAAAAACTGACAATAGATAATACTTTTCATACTGTGCAAGCTGCAGTGGATTCTTTACCCTTGAAGTGTTAAGAGAAGGAAGTTATCAAGATGGAGTAGATGTATCAATGTGGCACTGGCATACTTATGTGAGGAAGAGCCGAGGACTCAAGATGTATTGTTATATAATGTATCTCTGTCTTAAGTACTGCATGTTCATCAGCACAGACCAATCATGTGACCAGTCTAAGAACACAAGTAACCCTCTTTCCTTTACACATCACATCAGCCATGAGTTGTGGAAATTCTTGTATCGATGGTGCCCTTGCTATTTCACGTACATGTACATGTACACATGCTGCTGACGATAGTAAACTGTAGTGGGAACAGCCAATTTCGCCACCTTTTCACGAAGAGTCAAAAGTTTCCCCAGGGAGTAAAAACTGCTTTTAAAGAAAATCACATTTCAAGTTGGTCTCTTTTCAATGCTCATCTCCCCAGTACATTTAGCAATCCTTGGCTACATGTACATGTTCATCTAGAAAGAAGGGATCTTAAATGACACAAAACTACAACACAATATTTCTAGAATCAATTACATGTAAGTTTGTTTATGTTGTAACCACTGTTGTCTGTTCCGTGAAAATGCTAACATTCCTGTGACTTCTGTCTCTTTGTGAAAACTGCAAGTTTACAGTACACACTTTTGCCATACCACGTGCCAGGTGCAAAATTGTTACATTTGTATACACTTCTACAATCAACTTAGTCACTTTATGAAAACAGTAAAATAAGTTTTGCTCTTTATTGATAATGCTACGTCTATGGAAGACAACTTTGTCTCTTCGTGGAACTGGAAAATGCGGATCAGTTGAACTTTGCCCTATGGAGATCGTGATTTTGCTGATTACAATAGATTTGGTGAAGAATGATTACATGTACCCGTACACCTAGCGTCACTAGGTAGTAGGCATCACGTAACCTTGTTTATTTACAAACAAAAAAGAAAAGAAATTTAATTTTTGGTAACTTTCATTCTTCACGAAAATGGCGATGACTGTATACAATCAGGTGTTCCTTATAACTTGTGACTTTGAAGACTCTAGATTTACTCTAATTATTTATAGCCAGTTTACGTCAGATTTTCTTACCCAAAAAGCTGCCGGGGGGGGTCCCTCATATTCTTCAAAATTGAAATTTATTTATGATGCAACCAAGCTTGATGTACATGTATTAACCACTTGCTACCGGGGGCTCCAGTACCGGAGACAAAGGCCTTATATTCGTGGCCTGGGTTTCCGAAATCGGAACGAAATTTTAAAAAAAGTTGCTGGGTGTTTTTTTTTTTTAAGTTTATTGCTGTCAGTTAAAAAGTTTAGGCCATCATTGGAGGTTAATAAATTGCTCATAGGCAATAAAGGGTTGCTGGGCCAGAGAATTGGGATTATTTATAGCCGGGATGACCGAATTTACATGTATAAAAGCCTGTAATAATATTACGAGCTGCTGGGAGCTGCTGCGAGCTGCCGGGCACTGCCAATCAATCCCCGTATTCTTTCAGTGCAGAGTGCTGGCCATTAGCAGAGGTAATCCGTGTATTGTTTGTGCAGAGTGCTATTGTTCGCACTGCCTGGCGCTCGCAGCGGATTATCACTGCACTGCACTGAAGACAAAGCGCGGGCTGTACGGGCTCATTCTGCACTTGTGCCCCATGAATGACCTGGCCCGGGCGCTGCTGGCCCTTGCCACGTTGACTGAAAGGGCTCGGCCCTCGCTGCTTGAGAATAAAATCAGTGCAGTGGCTACATGTGTGCATATTAGGTATAGTGTTATCAGACCACAAATAATATGGCTGAAGTTATATCCGGAGAGTCCGGTTCTTCAGTGAAAATGAGTTTTATCTCAGTTCAGAGGAATGTTTCTCGTCTTCTTCATCACCGCCATCACCTGCTAAAGAACAGTCAAGTACAGAAATTGACAGTGATGTAACCTTGACGGTATAAGCCAAGCACAAGAGACAGACCCTACACAGACCGCCGCATTGTCCAGCAGCAGTGCCGCACCGTGCCGGTGTACAGATGAAGACAGTACACCACTGAAGTACGGCTTCACCGGTAATGGTGGTGCCGTCGACCCCCACCTGCATTGCAGCTCAAGCTGCAGTGAAGCCTTTGAGCTGTTTCTAGTGCAAGAGATCAACCGGTATGCTGTGCAGAGGTCCGCTACGACATCGGCCCACATGCGATCTTGGACTGATCTGAACACTGTAGAACTGAAGGCCTTTCTGGGCCTTTGCATAATGATGGGCATTGCGAAGCACCCCACCCTTCATAGCTTCTGGTCCACCGATCCATTCCTGAAGATGAGCCTATTCTCGTCCCTCATGCCCCAAGATTGCTTCCTTGCCATCCTGCAGTCCCTGCACTTCAACGACAATACCGCAATGCCAGAGGACTGCACTGACAGCCTTTTCAAAGTGCACCCAGTAGTCGACCATCTTGCTCAGAAGTTTGCCACTGTCTACATTCCTCAACGGGACATTTCCGTTAACGACTCCCTGTTGAAGTTCTACAGGCGTCTCCACTTCGCTGCCTACAACCCCAGAAAGAGGGCCCGCTTCAGCATCAAGATGTACAATTTGTGCCAGAGCACCAGGAATTCCGTCGGGTACTGCTACAACTTCAAAATCTTCACCGGCCAAAGTAAGGGAGACCTTCCAGCAACTACACAAGTAGTGATGGACCTGGTGAGCGACTTATCCGGCAAGGGCTACAACCTTGCCCTCGACTGGGCCTTCCAGCATTCCAGTCGGCCAACCTGGGCATCAGCGGTTGTCTCCTGGCCATGGTGTGGCGAGACAAGCGCAACATCCGTATGCTCTCCACCATGCATACAGCAGACATCCATGGCTCCAGCAAGCAAGACAGGACGGGGGAGGAAAAGCAGAAACTGACCTGCGTCATCGAATACAATGCCCGTAAGTGCTCGTAAGTGCCTAAAGTGGTACAAGAAGCTCTTCTTCTACCTACTCCACTTGATGCTAGTGAACAGCTACGCCGTGTACCTGGCCATTGGTCGCCGCCTCTCCTTCCTCAACTACCGCTTGAGTCTTGTCCGTGAGCTGCTGTTCGACGAACTCTTGCCCGCGTACCGCCCCCAGCACGATACTCCACCAGTCACCAACTCCTGCTCGTCGGCCGACACTTCCCCGTGGACTTTGAGAGGACCAGCTATGGTGACTTCCGCTACCGGCGGTGTGTCCTCTGCACTTCTTATGGTCACGAAAGAAGACACACTTCGAGTGTGGCACGTGCCACCAGCCCTTCTGCATCACCCCCTGCTTTAAGGAGTACCATAATGTCCACTGATTGACATTTTGAACATTAACTTTCATGGACATTTTCATGGACACTATTTCTTTGTGCTTTTCATGACATGATGCCCCACTTATCTGGTGTAAAACAATATGCCATTTACTGGTGGTTTTAGGAGTTGTCATAGTTTCATCCCTTGAAAAAATGACGAAAATAACAAGTTTACTGAAAGTACAAGGTTTAGGACATGTTATATTTTCTATCATTGAAAAAGTGGCAAATTTTCTTGTAATGGTTTCACTAATTGGTCATATTTTCAACCCTTGAATAAATGTCAAAAAAGAGAAAGTTTCTGGAAATTACTGCTTTGAGGATGTTGTATTTCATCTCTTGAAAAAGGGGCAAATTTCCTGGTAATGTTTTCACTAATTGGTCATATTTTCAACCCCTGAAAAAATGACAAAAAAGACAAAGTTTGACAAAGTATTGCTTTGAGGATGTTGTATTTTCATCCCTTTCATTTCTTGGACTGGTGTTAGGAGTTTGCCCATTCTTGCCTTTTTATGAGTTTTGCATTTTATTTGATTAGAAGAGTGGAAATTTATTTTACTACTTTTATGAGTTCAACTATTTCAATGAGAAATGAAAAAAAAAACAAAAGAGAAATGACAAGAAGAAAAATAAGAGGAAAAGAAGTTCTCTCCAAATATTTGTCTGTGTGTGTATTTTTATGTATACTTGATTTTATTGGTTTCTAAGATTTTACTTGAAATTGGTGGGGAAATAAAGTTTTGGGAAGGGAAATATCCATTTTGAACTAAAACTTACACTGTGGGAGGGAAAATCAACAAGTTGGGAGATAAAATATTAGAGTGGTTTGGGGGAGATACATGTATAGGTTTTTGTAGATGGGAAAATATATAACAGAAAAACAAATAGCTTCAAAAAATAGCAAAAGTTAGATGCACCAGTGCCGCAAAAAAACAACACTTTTAGACCCCATTTTTTAATAGCATGATTCATTTGTCCATCATGGCCCGTACTCATTGAACAGTTTACAAAGCTCAGTGCATGTGGGCACAGCTTCCCATTCACTCAGCGCATATTACACGCTGAAGTTTTGACCGTCAATTGCTCTGCATAGCAACACGGCAGTATAGCTACGCACTGGGCCAGGGCCCGGAACAAAAGAGCCCTTATGTAACACTACACCATGGGGGCTCTATACAGAGCCGACGGCGTGGCTGCAAAACCAAAGGGTCAATGGAAGTTGCTTGTGAGGGCTAGACTCGCCACAAGACACTCATTTTATGGGGTTTAGGTATTCAGAAAAAAAGATATGAATTTTTGAAGATTTTTGAAAAACGAAAATATGAAAAAAAGCACCCGGCAGCAAGTGGTTAATATGTTAACCACGGAAATGAGCAACAAAGTCTTAAACCAGTGTACATGTACACGTCCTCCGTGGAACAAATGAAAAAAATTGTGTGTGTTTACACGTCATCCAGCTCCAACTGGTTAAGATGTTGAAAGATACATGATTTTGAGCAACACACGTGTGAGCAACCCAAACTCATACACTAAGTCCATCTATGTCTTACACCTTTCTATGAAAAAATTGGCCAAAAAACTCATAAAAAAGTATGAGAGAGACAAAGATTGCTAAGAGGCCGAGACAGAGATGTGATACAAACATTGTTGGTGTAGTAATGTGGGAAATGAAGTTTTTAAAAGCATTGGGGAGATGTACATGGAAAATCCTAAGCTTTGCTTTGCTTTAGGAACTGTTTGTATCTGGTTTTTGATAACATCATACATCTCATTCCACATTTTACAACTGTACATGTACACAGGGGATACAGCATATTTCTAAAAATTGAGTGTTTACAAGTAGGATTAGGAAATGTGTGGTACTGGGTAGGTGGAGGAGAGTGTCAAAAGTAAACAATATTTAGTCATACCTCTCTCCAAAGTTTGCTTTTCTCTCTCTCATTGTCTGTGCTTTTTCCTTGCCTGTAACTTCACGGACACAGTCTGAGGGAAACCATCCTCTAGAGTTACCTACTTCACCCTCCCAGAAGTTGAATTCACCAATGCCATGAACTGAAACAGCAGGAACAAAAAATGTAATTTAAATGTAAAATACAAACAAATTTATGATGAAATCTTAAACAACTCCAAAGCCCGTGTTCTACATGTACACGTACTTGTCACTGAGGACCTCCTGACACAACTTCAGACCTATCACCAACAAATTTCAGTGAAAGATCCAGAATTTCTAAAAAAAGGGCCAAAAGCAGGTAAAAACCAAACATTTGGGACAATTTTTTTATTCACTAGGTGATATACATGTACCTGCTACCTTTGTGATAAAATGACCAGTTGAGAGGAGAGGAAATGAAGATACCCGGTAATGTCAAAGTTCACTGTATACACCGCTTCTTTTCATGAAAAATACCCACACAGGGATCAGCAACAGCTGCACCCCTCCCTATTAGCCATTGAAAGTTAGGAAGAAACAAGTTTCAAGTTACTACAGCTACCAGTACTTGTATTTGGCTCCTGAAAGAAATGTTCAATTAAAAAAGTTATCTTTGTTTTCATCCACATAATATTCCCATGATTCATTACAGTGTTGAATCAAATGAACGATACACGTATACCCAGTACATGTACATATATACAGACGTGCCAACATGCCGTACTCCTTCCTGAATGAACTGAAGGCTCATTTAAATACATGTACCTTTTAATCTATGGAAGGAATGCAGCCAGGTTGGCAGGTCTGCATATACTGTATGGATAATGCCAGAAATTAGGGATCCAATTTTTTTTTTGGTGTCCCTGTCACATCTGACATATGATTTTTAAAGTTCAAAACACATTTTCTAATTTCCAAGAGTGACAAATTAACGCAAAATTTCCTGCCAAACAAATAATAATAGTTTGAAATCAATTCCAGTGATATTTCCATGTCCATTAACAAAGGTCAGATGTAACTGGGACACAAAAATGTCCCTTTTGGACCCCCAATTTGGAATTACCCATACATGTATATAAAAGGGCAAAGTATGCTTTTTCTAAAGCATGCAAAAAGTGAATTAATGTACTAAAAAAAGTAACCATTCAATGGTAAACGCACAAGTACATGTACAGCAAAGTAAAGTTTAAGGGGAATAAACACTGTAAAGCACAGAGAACAACTAAATGAAGCAAATAAAATGTTAAAGGTAATACATTAAAATGAATAAGTATTGCAAACCACTATACAAAACACTAAAATTCTGTATGCTCAGGAGTTAAAATAATTAGTTAATTAAGGAGAGATTTGAACTGTATAAGCGATTTTGCCTCTATCTGAGCAGTGGTAAGTTTGTTCCATCCCAGAGTCCCAAGGTACTGAAAAGTACGCTTGGTAGCATTCGTCTTGGGAACATGGTTTGCCAAAGCATGATTTGAGATTTGATGGACTCAGATTGTTTATGCATTTGTAAATTTCACATATTCTGTGGTTTTCCCACCAGATTGACAATGATGTCTACAAAAGCACCCCAAGAAGGTCCTGGATATCAGCAGTAATACCATCTCTCTTTAGTCTATCTCCAACATGCAAAGCTTCAAGTCTTATCTAAGAAAATCGGTGCTTACCTTTAACATAATCTCCCTTCATGAGAGTTAGTTCTCCATATTCCTGAGCGGTGTATGGCTTGATACAAATGTACAGTTTACCGGGTTTGGTATCTTTGATCTTGCGATGTACCATGCGGGCAACTGCTGCTGACCGGCCCATGGAACCTACAGAGCCAGACCTCTTAGGGGAGCTGACCTCTATTCAGATTAATTGGGGGGAAATGTAAAGTAAGAGAATGGGTGGTGAAAGACTAACATGTAACATACATTTGTTTTAAGTTGTTTCACCACAATATTAATCTCTGTCTTCTTTTGTTTTTACAACACTACACAGCCCATGGTGTGTTCCAATAACAGCTACACAGTTTATGAAGAAGCAGGGGCACCAATGGGTTTTTTCCAGGGCAGGAATATGTGCAATGTTGTATGTACATCAACAAATGCTTAAAAACAAATAAGTGTAGTCAACTCTGATTCAACCAAAATTGCCTGGACTGGCTGAACTACATGTACTCGTGTTTAGATGAATCCACATACCTGTACTTTTTACAAAAAGACAGGATAAATCAAAGAAAACCAAAGAAATCAAGTGATAGGGAAAGTTTATTCTTTTTCATGTTAAAAATTCTGTAATAAATTTTGTGGGATGAACATTGAAATATAGCCTTTTTCTGTGCAAACTAACTCATTGAAATGTCATTAACTTAAGAAAATATCACTTATCTGTGCATCAGTTGATCAGTACAAAATTCAAACTTTAATGGAAATGTTTAACAAATGTCAAAATACAAAGATACAAAATGCAAAATACTAAGTTGTGTTTGTAAGGTTAGTATACATGTACTCTTACATACCTTCAGGAATGGAGTCATCATCAGTAAAGCTTGAGGATGATGCTATAGACATTCTGTTTCCACCTTGGTTTCTAAGAAATTGTCCAGGGAGAAATGGTTCACTGACTGTCCGACTCAAAACACCTGTTGCAACTGCTGTCAGTGACGAGCATCTCCGGCGGTTGTTGTATGATGGCACTTCTTGTTGTATTACTGTCAAGAAATTAAAGAGATAAAAATGTGATTTTTCAAAATGTACACGTACCGGCGTCATGTACATGTACCTCTCGAACTTTCTAGTATTAAATTTTGTCAAACGTTTGCATCTTAACTTCAAATGAAAACAACACTGAAAACTACACATGTACATGTACACACCTCAAATGAAAGGAAACTCTTGTTGTTCAGTTCCCTTAAACAGATTTAAGTTACAGGATGTAATACAGATCACCTTCCTGTGTCAAGTGATAGCCTCCAATATGCATGACCATCATTTACAAAGACTGCAACTCTTACACAAGGTAGTTCTATGAATTCTAAAGGCTGTGGTTTATAAGCCAATTGCATCAATGAAAATAAAGTTTTTTACAAAACAGCCTGACCAACATGTACATGAACTAGTACATGTCAGCAGGATATGCAATAAAGGTATCCCTGATATGAAAGAATAATACAACACAAACTGTATGCCAATTGACAAACTGCATCAAGAAAAAAGGTGTGAATAAAGACGCAGAAAGGACAGATAGGAAACTGAATAGGTTTATACAAGGGAAGGGGAAAAGTCTCCCATGAGAATGCGTGTAAGAAAAAAATCCAGCATGATTTTGAGTACTGATTGAGAGTTGAACATCCACTAGCCCTTTAATATACCAAGCCCTGTGGTTTAGGATATGACTATATATCCTGCCCCAATTACATGTACCATGCCTCAAACTGGTCCTGATCTGTAACAGCTAACTACATGTATCAACATGCCATAAAGAACATGGACTAAAAGTTATCAGAGCAACTATTCTGTATTCCGTGAATGGGACATACATGTACAGTGTATGCCCATCCTTAAACTCTACACTTGATGTCACCCTATTTTCCTGATGCTCCATTATTTTGCACAAAAGGAGCATCGGAAGTAATAATTCTCCATTCTTTCAGAGGGTATGACCTCCATTGCTCTACTGACTGTTTTTGTCACAATGCAGTTTTTTACCAGTCGGTTGACTTGATCGTTAAAGAGAATTTTCACGTGGTCTTACAAGGATACATTTACACATCTGGGATTGAAACATGGGGTTAATAGTTTGTTTTGCACTGTTGCAAATTGCTGATCATAAGAAACAGTAAAACTGTAGAGCTAAATGTACATTTTGGTGTGCAACCCGCCCCAAAAAATCCTGGATTGGTGCCCGGTACCATATTCTTGATATGAACAGAACCAAGAACAGCTACGTGTAATGCCTGAGTCCCTTTTTTCTACATGAACTAGCAACAGGATCAATTATTTCTTTTCTGATTATTTCTTTAACTGGAAAATCATTGGTCTTGATCCAGACAAGCTGGGAAAATAAACGACTATGTAAAATGTTTGCAAATATACAACTGAATATGAAGAAACCATCTTGGCTGTCTGCAAAGTACAACATACATGTACTATACACTACTCACCCACATCCTCCTCAGAGTAATTTTTGATCATTTCACCCAAGCTGAAGTTATTGGAAACAATAGCAACCTAGTGACAAATCAAAAATGGTACATTAAAATGTTAGACCATGCAAGTACAACATAACCAAAAAAACCATTTTAACTAAAAGGAAAGCAATATAACATCATATATGTCAGAATGTGGTATTCCGCTAAACGGAAGTTTCACAAAATAATGATTATCTTCTTAATGTTAGGAATTTAACCTTACATATCTAATTACCATTTCATACCTTCAATAATAATAATCACTCCTGTGTTTAGTTGCATTGCATTTTTTTCAAGGTTCTCCTATGAGGTTGTGACATACATAGGGTAGACATCTACTTGCAATTCTCACCTGGAAAGGCGTTTGGCTGGACTTATTCTTTATTGATCTGTTCCCACCACGGAATAAAACCATTCTTGCAGCAGACTCTTGATTATAAGCAGCGCTGACATGCAGAGGTGTGTTTCCTGCCTCATTCTGACAATTAATATCTGCTCCGTAATAGATAAGAAGCTGTAGATGCTGGATTCTGCCATAACGACATGCCTGTTGACAGATAGGCAAATCATTTATTTATCATAGAAAAATAAACATTGTCCCAAAGTTTCATTGAAACAGAAAGCAACAATATACCAATATACAAATGGCATAAATAATAAATGCTTATGAGAGCATTTGCCTCCTGGAATGGAACAGTTCATCTGTCACCTCATGAAATTATTCATATACCATTGCACAAATGTTAAACATTCCTTTACTTTTAGGCAATACCTTCATAAAATAGCATCATCTGATTGGTGGATCATTTATCATATGTCACAGAAATATTCATACTATTCCATTGTACCAGTACCTGTTGAATAGAACGTCGCATTGCATTTGAAAGTTAACACTGTGAAAAGGAATGGGAAACGAGAGCTTATCTGTCTGTTTGCCAACAGAACAGAGGGCTTTTTCGCATTCTTTTGTACATTTGAACAACTACGGTATCATGATATCAACTCATTTTTGGTATCTAACACCCCTCTTTTGAGTTATCTGCAAAGTTTCAACCTGATAGAACATGTACTTCAGGAGAGATTTGGCTTTAAATGGTGCACCTTTCATGTCAGGTGACTTGTCTCCTGATGGCCTCATCATCACATCTGGTCAAAAATCCTCTAAAGCACTCCCTTTTCAAGATATCTGCAAAACTTGAACCCAATCGGACATCTACTTCGGGAGACACAGGACCTTAATTAAAGTGCACATTTTATGTCACGTGACTTGTCCCCTGATGAGGTCATCATCAGGTAATGTCAATATTCCTCTAAAGCACTCCCTTTTCAAGATATCCGCAAGATTTGAACCCGATTGGACATCTACTTCAGGAGATATATGGCTTTAAAGAATGCACATTTAATGTCATGTGACTTGTCTCCTGATGAAGTCATTATCACATGAGGTCGAAATTCCTGTAAAGCACTCCCTTTTCAAGATATCTGCAAGATTTGAACCAAATTGGATATGCACTTCAGGATATAGTATTGTAAATGAGGCACCATTTAATGTCACGTGACTCGCCTGCTGTTGGTATTGTCATTACGTGAGGTCAATTTTCATTTGTAAACCTTCCCTTCCTAACTACCTGCAAGGTTTCAACCCAATAAGACATGTACAATACAATATACAATAAAAAACATTATATTTTTTGTGGAAATGGCAAGAGATTAGGTATCTTAAACATTTGTCCGTTTTGGCGTTCCATACCATGCGATCTGCTGTCGGCAGCACGTGGTCGGCAATTTGCCATGTCCCGAGCATATACCCTACACAGGGTGTGCTGTATATGTTGCAACAGGCAGATATTGGGCATCCACACACACACACAGTAGCATATGCACAGCATGCGAATTGGATTTTCGAGTTGGCAATTTATATTTTAAGGGTTTTTTATCGACGGCGCTTCACGTGGGTGAAAAAGTACACCAGTTATGCACTTCATGCAGCTGACTTCAATGTTTTAGCTGTCATCTCATGCACAATTCACGCTTATTTCTCTTACGGTTGATTTTTTTACCGAAGTTGGATGAATAAAAGAAGTTTTTATTGTAACTTCCAGTCTGATGACGTCATCAGCCCCAAATTTCACACACGTTGACTAGGTAAAGATGGTCATCTACATCATTTTTCAGGCGATTCGGACAAACAGACATCTATTCAAAATTCATTTTCGGAATTTTTAACCTGTCGCTAGAGGGCACTTGACAATTAGGTGAAGTCATCAGTGGATGATTTGAAGAATACTATAACCCAACAGGCTAACACCGTTGTAAACAACTTGATATCTATTACCACTTTTAAACAATAAGGCCACTTCCGTTTTCGACCGGAAGGAAGGGTCACGTGATTTGACCATACAAGATGAATTCAAGACCACATTTTATCCAGGCACTTGCTGCAAACAGGATATTGCGGGAGGCCATGGTTGATTTTTTATGGATTTTTATACATTTAACGGAATATTGAAATATTCAAAATTTAATAATAAATCATTTGATGACATCATCATGATGTAAATATTTCAGAATTATATTTGTTTTATAGTTAGTGCTATAGTAAGTTTGCCGACGATCAACGATTACGAAAATAGCACCTTGAAAATGTGTACAAAGTCAATGGGCTAAAATAAATATTGAAAAATCAATAATAAATCGCTTGATGACGTCATATTTCTCGGACAATCTGTACATAAGGGTTCTTCATTGGTAGAAGTTTGATGAAGATCCAAAGTTGCTAAAGCACTAAAGTGGTGGTGACCACAAACGTATACAAAACAAACTGGCTTATGAGCAGAAGAAGAAGCAGCAGCAAAAAAAATGACGACAAAAATGCCTTTTTCGCAAAATTGCAAAAAAGCCAAAAATGTAAAAGGAATTCGCATTTTGCACGTTAACCAAAATTTTTCCACCCTGCGAATTCGCAGCAAATAGGATGTGAAAGGGGCAAACAACTTGTGAAAACAGTGTGAAAATTGTGCGAAAACCGTGCGAATTGTTTGTGAACATGGCGTGAAACATTTGCGAATACACTGAGAAAAAAAATGTGTGAAAATTTGTGAAAACGGTGCAAAAGATTCCAAAAATTATGCAGTGAAGAGTCCATCACGCAGGCTGCACTGCGATTGGGGCCGGCCTTGGCTACCTCACCACGTGGAGTGTGCTGTTGTAGTCTAGTAACAATTTCCTCGGCCGAACCATCCGGTCCATGCAGCATGATCGCGAGCACATGCTCACCACAGAGAGCCGCACATGCGTGGCACAGCTCTTTTCTTGGATACCATTAATAAACACTCACCAGTATCTGAGAATGAATTTTAAAAAGTAATCTGGATTTTGAATAATTAAACGGGAGTCATGAAGTCACAGGAGCACATGAAATGTGTGTATATTTACAACAAACTTAACTTGCTCTGCTGTGACAACATGGGTTATTTGCCCACTTTTTATTTATTCTTGTGGTGTAGTTTGGCACACAAAATAATCAACATTGAGACACTACATGTACATGTAGAATTTGTTACCGAAAGGTTTCTTTTTACTGATAAATAAAATCAACTGCTTAAATTGTACATGTATCGTCATGTAGCAAAGCTTGTCTTTTCGCTGATTGTGTTCAGCATGACATATCGGGTCTGTTTTCACTTGGGTTTTCAGATGACATGTCACTTTCTGTGGTCACATGGTTATTGGGAAAAGTCAGCGATGGGACTGTCCATGAATGGGCGTGCAGTAGCAACCGATGTCACGGTGGGTGTAGATGCACAGGGTGGCAGTTTTTGAAGAGATTTGGTGCTGTTTTTTGATCGGCGTCACGAAAACGTTGAAATATCCGGATACAAGGCATTTATTCTGAAATTACGATACATACATCTGCCAATACATGTAAATGTAATTCACATACCGGTACTTGACAAGATGTGGATACATGTACACGTACATCTATCTGTACATGTGCACATATGTTGGACGTTCATCCAAGTCCATTTTACGCTAGGCTGTGCAGTTGTAACGCTCAATTCTGTTAGGTCCCCTTGAGAGCACTATAACCGGAATCTACTATAATTCAGCTGTTTGGTGTTCAGTGCTGGTCTTCGACCTCCACCATAGCCAGCTTTGATTTCGCCTGTCGCATTGTATTTTTTATTTTGCTCAAAACCGAGAAACATACTACATTGAATTTTTAATGCTGTCTTCCTCAAGTTATCTTCTAGATATTCCAAAGAATTCCCTATTCAGAGATGCGCATATTTGAAACCACAGAGAATAAAACTTTCCCGATGTCTACATGTACAATATATGTACATGCACAAATACTACTTAATGAAGAAAGCTTGCAAAATTATTTCCCCACTACTAGAGACAATCTGTGAAAATAATTTCCCACTTGTGTGAAAAGGTGTGAAAATCTGTGAAAATATTTTCCTACTTGTGTGAAAAGGTGTGAAAATATTTTCTCACTTTTGGCACACTTTTTCCCAATTTGTGAAATGAAAAGGAACTCCCTGGGAAGAAAAAATGTGAAAAGATTTTCCCATTTTGGTGTTAACTTTCAATTGCAATGTTTTGTAACTAGTTCCTGCTCCCATTTTATATGTATATATTTCATTCTCGGTGAAAAGACAAAAAAATGTTGAAAAATCAATCCATGCCATCTGATTTATGCAGGTACTGCATACAGACATGTAAAACAAATAATGAAACTATCACATGCATGCAAAAGTAAGAATAGGTTCATTTAGTGACAGATACAATTTTCCATTCCACGTTTCACCTCATAAACTTATTCTTACCATTGCACTCACAAGCGTACATTGTTTGTTTAATACAATGCCTGCATAAATCCTTTTCGGTAAGAGAACAACCAGTTCTCGCATGTGTGCATTTTGTGACACAGACTCTTGTCTGAAGCACCATCCACTGGTACCAGTAGTACTGTGCAATGTTAGACTGACCTTCCCGTCTAATATACATGTATTCCTCTTTCTTAATACAAATGAAATATATGAAAAGGGGGTGGGAACCAGTCAAATGAAATAAAGATCTATTCAACAAATACCGTAGAATAAAACAAATAATTCTAGGACATGTGATCAATGATCCACCAATCACCATTGTGCGTAATGCATAATCACATTATACAACATTACTCAAAACTGACTTCCGCAAGTTTTGTCTATACATGTGTGTACATGTATAATTCTCATTCATTTTGCAAACAATGGGAATTAGTGGAACAAACTGGTACCGGTACTGGCGCTGAACAGTGAACTCTTCAAATTAAACACTTCTAAAACTAATTAATATGATGAAAGGAAATAAAGCAGTAGAAATGCTGCATTGAAACTTTACAATGATAAAAAAATGTCCCATACATGGTGAATTTCCTTCCAACCCTGCTCATCTGAAATGTTGACAGTTGCTCGGTCTTTCAACAGAAGTTCCGCTATCATTGGATCTCCACCATGCTGTACGTTGTAGTAGAGAGCAGTGAGACCTCTGGAATCTTTGTAATTGGGTGATGCTCCTAGGCTCAACAGTAACTGCCAAAAGAAATTCAATAGAAAATAGCTGAGTGTGTGCGTGTACATGTAACAGTGCTTTCTACCAGTCTGCTATGTACATGTCCAAGCTACTTATTGGTAACACTAACGTGAAAAAGACTAGGTGTGGCCCAATTAAGTAAGCATATGAGACAGGTTTGCTATGTCTTATGACTGAATGAAGTAAGAATAGGGCAGAGCTTTGTCAATCCTTTAAGCTCAGTGTTTGGTAACTGCAAAAGTCAACAAATGGATGTATTTTGTACATATCAACATACATGTAGAATGACAGGTTGTCGTGAGTGACCCTTAAAGGAAGCACAGGAATACACCTGTATCCCCTGAAAGGCAGTCTACAGATTGTTACATTCAATATTCTCTGAATGTCTTCTACATGTACAGACTGGTACCTCTATAATAGACTGATTGCCTGACTTAACAGCCTTGTGGAATGCTGTTTTTCCATCTCTTGCTCTGTAGTCAAGATGTGCGCCACCACTGATCAATGCCTGGATTACTTCTTCTGAGTTCTTCATGGATGCAGCAACAGTCAGTGGAGTTTCTGGAAGAAAGATGTAGAAATGTACATGTACATGTAGATATTCACAACATCTGAGAACCACTCCATTAATCATACTGAAATACACACATTTTGACCACCCAATCAATATAATGTTAACATGTTACATAAAGTCACATTTGTTCTTTACTTCTATCATTGCTTTTAAGCAAATAAAGGGGCCAAAAGGTTGAATTATTATGGCTCTAGTGCAATGTTCAACAAGTCACAGAATCACTTTTTTCCTTTTTCCAGCTAGATGACGGACTAGCAGAATTCACATGTGACAGCTAATTGAAAGGAATGAATATTAATGAATACAAACCCCCTGTACTTTCTTCATGGATATTAGGATCCATACATTTCCCTGTCATCTTGGCAATCTTGTCAGTATTTTTACTCCGTGCACATTCAAAGAACATCTTGATGTTAGCTTTGTTATGATACTTCCTGACCTCCTTGATGTCCAGTTTTATCTGTTTGTAAACACGTCTCTTGTATTTGAACTACACAGATAGAAAATAAGACAAACAACACAAACGTTTTTAAATATATCTGTAAATACAGGATACTAAATGAATTTCTGATTTAAACTTTAAAACTATATTTAATTTCTTTTCTCTCTGATCCCTTTCACGATTGATCTAATCTACCGTACAGTAGAAGAAACACAATTCAACCTCAGCAAATTTTCAGTCCAGGGCAATGACTTTTGCACATACATGAACATGTAGTAATGGTGAAGGGAAATGGCCAAAGAATTGTCTCACTTAGCAGGATCAAAAATAAACGCAAGATTCACCAATGGTTTTTACTTCAATTTTATAAGATTGGCAAATTTATGGAAATCAGATTTCATTCCACTAACTTGTTTTATATTTTGAATTACAGGTACATTGTAACTCCTCTGAGAAAAGTCAAGAAAAATAGTGTGTTTTCAAAAGTCAAATTGAAGATCTTGGAGTTTGTCTTGTGCAAAACTACAGAGCACTCTGATGAAGCAAACGATACACACAAGAGGTCAACTTGCTGATGAACAGGTGTTCTTTCCCTTTAAAAGTGATGTTCATTTTGTCGCATGTCGATAATATTGTTTTTGGCAATTACATGTAGATGTACATTTAGGTTTTCAAAAAGAACCGAGATGAAAAAGCCATTTTACTTATTACTGTACATGTGGAAGATCTGATCATGAATTACTGTTACCGTACACGTACTCGTACAGTACATGTACATGTACCTGATACATGTACGTACATGTACAAACCGATATGAGTACTCTTTGCCAGAGTAACCACTTGTATTGCTACTGGTAAACACTAGTACCAGTATTATGGGGTCCATTTTAACCATTACTTATACACGTCAGGCACAGCCATTCAAAATGCCAGATGCCTGTTTAAAATCTTTGCACAAACCCAATTTTTCTTTAGAAACATTTTGACACGGTGTCATTTTTATACCAAATAATGTGATGTGGCATGTGCATGTACTGTACATGTATGTTGGCCACTTTCACAGTGCAGGTATTTATAAAGCTTTCAGTGTTTACACACAGGCAGTATTGTTTGTCTCAAGGTATTTATCACTTTACTGGGCAAGATCTAAGGACTTCATAGACAAATGTTTTGGTCATGGTATGTTAAAATACATGTATGCAAGTTCCTTGAAAAAATTATTTGAGTGAAAAAGGTGGCCAAATTCCTCAATGAATCACTCAATTCTAAAATGAGCATACAAATGAACAAAAAAGCAGTACATGTACGGTACAGTGTCATCTTTTCTCTGATCACTTGTCTGTTCTTTGGAACTTGAAACAGAAGAAACCGCCTTTCCCTGTTAAGGAAGTCACTTACAGGAACATTAAATCGATTAACATTGATTCTTTGAAAGCTGATTAAGATTCTTCTAAGCTATGTATGATGCCCCTCAGGATCTTGAAGAGCTTGCCAAGTGTTATAAAAGTACACTAGAAAGCATCTTCAATAAACATGCCCCTTTGAAGTCTAAAACGGTCATCGTTATAGAGCATACGTCTCTGATTCCGGAGTACCCGGCAGGAAGTGGTTAACATACAAAGCCATCAATGGTCTTGTTCCAAGATACTTAATGAATCTTGTCATCATTAAGAAGGAGTTTAGATATCATCTCAGGTCAGCAAGCAACGGTCCTTTGTTAAGTTACCCTAACGGTAAAATGCTACTCACACTTGGTGACAGGGCATTTGCAATGGCTGCTCCTAAATTATGGAATGCCTTGCCAGGGCATATACTGTGTGAGCAAAGCCTTGCCGTTTTTAAATGTAAAGTGAAAACTTACCTTTTTAATGTTGCATTTGTACAGTGATATATTGCACTGCAAGATTCGTGATTTTATTAATTTTATCTGGGGTTAGTAAGGTTATTATTATTTTTGATTTTAACGTAGGTTTAGCTGTGATTCATTATTTTAGTGTCTGGTATAATTACTTTTCTTTTATAGTAGGTAAGGTTAGAGGCGTCTGTCCCTGGGAAAGATCGAAATATCAACGATGCCAGCAGGGTTAGGTTCTCCCTGTTGACGGGGCAGACGTATCCCCATACTCGCATTGGGTACTAGCACGGTGACATTCATTCATTTATCCTATTTATTTACATGTACCTTATCCTTTCATTTCTTAAACTAATTATTTTTTACGCTAACTTGTTGTCTTGTACTGCGACGTTGATCATTTTTATGGAAACGGCGCATAATGGATTTTCAATTGTTATTATTATTATTCGTGCAATGTTGGCCCAAATACCGGTAGTGATCCCAATGAAGTAACCAAACATCCGGCTGAGTCTCCCTCAATTGGAAGATGGTTTGCAAAGAAAAAGTACCTCTAAGAATGGCATGTTTGCAGGGTCAGTGGGATAGTCACTGAATGGTCTCTCTTCTTCCAAGAATTTGCCAGCTTTACCATGTGATGGTGGCAGGTAGAATCCAAAGTTTAAGCTGTCTGTCAGTGGCTATCAAAGAAAAGAAAAATACAATATTCAATGAAACCACATCAAAGCATTTAGAATTTGCACGTACCGGTACATGTACCCCTTTTTAGTTTTATGTACACCACAATAAATGGATTTACATGTACCAGGACATGTGGACATGTATACAGGTACATGTACATTTGGTACCGGTATGTACATGTACACACTTACATGCACAGTACATGTATGTGAGTAAAATGGCTGCACATTTTTCACCAGGCAAATTTGCTGAAAAATTTTGAGTGCAAGCTACCGGTAATTTGCATAAATGTACACCATACATGTATGTGTACTCCATAGGCAAATTTAAAGATTACATGTACATGTATGACAGAAAGATTATTTTGCATCTTTTTTAAATTTCAACTAATACCACTACCCGTACATCCTAGTACTGTACATGTACTGCACAGTACAAAAAGATCAGTTTTACAGGCTACATGTACATGTAGTTTCAGAAATTGTAGTCAAGGCATGGGGGTTCAAGTAGTCTTGTTTACAAGACCTTCCTGTTGTTTTATTCGCAAACCAAGAATAATACAACCCATCGCCGTCAGAGGGCCCCTTCTCAACAAACCGCGCTCCACTCTAATCCACGTCACTCACGTACTGTACAGTACAACTACATGTAACTGTACAGTACATGTTCATTTATACACATACAGACCGTATATAAAACAAACGCTGGGGGCGCTCTCCCACGAACTGCTATCACCCACGAACCGCTGTGAGAGTGGTTCATAGGGGGAGAGCGGTTCATGGGAGAGCGCCCTCAGCGTTTGTATGATACAGTGTGTGTGTGTGAATGTACATTGTACATGTACTGTACAATGTACAGTTACACTGTACATGTAGGTGTACTGAACAATACGTGAGTGACGTGGATGAGAGTGTAGCACGGTTTGTTGAGAAGGGGCCCTCTGACGGTGATGGGTTGTCTTATTCATAGTTTGCGAATAAAACAGGAAAGTCTTGTAAACAAGACTAGGATTCAAGTTGAACAAACTTCTTACATATTCCGGTAATGTCATAAAATAGGACATCTGATCATTTTGACATTTGAGCAAGTAGCATTCCTGCATACCTGTACATGTACTGGACATACATTAATTCCTTTTTGATATTAAAGGTACTGCATGTACATGTATTACACATGTGAAAAACAGTTTTGTGAGTACTGCTGTATGTTTATTAATCATGGTGCTATAGGTAGGTAGTGCAAAGTAATGTAGCAGAGCTACTGGAACATGTACAGTATGTTACCAGGTAAGTACAGATGGCCCAGCCAGTCTGTGTTATTCCATGCAATCTACATGGCATGCTACTGACACACGAAATGCCTTCTTGTACATGTACATGTAACTCACCGGTAAGTTACAAAAGGTCTGTTCCACCTACAAGATGAGGTAAATACATGTATGTGGGTATAATTTGTTGATGTCATACAAAGTTTACATGTTATGTAAGAAAACAACGTCACTGAGATACCTATACAGCACAGGTCTTAGGGTAGCCCGGTTTCAGGCACACAAAAATACACGAAACCAGGAACCCCAAAACTGGACAAAAGAGCTGGGCCTTGTGACAAAAGATTGTACTCAGAACAAAAGACCGAGCTGCTGGGAATTGCCAACACTTTTTTCAGTTGTCAATAAGCAGTGAAAATCTGTCCTTATTTTGAGACTATACCACTGTTTGTGGCATTCAGAGTGAGCTGATTACCACTGGGGCCAAAGCGCTGATGAGCGATACAATAACGCTGCACGCTAATCTGGCCTGTATTGAAAATATGTCAGAAGCGCACTGTGCCAGTTTTGGAAACAAAAGGAAGCTACCGGTACATACATGTAACTCTGCTATCTGGGTTCTTTTTACAAAGGTGGCAGACCTGGCTGAAATACTCGAGCGTCAATAGATGTTGTCTGTCAGACTAGTGTAGTCACCAGACAGTTATTTGTGTGGGTGTAAACGTCCAGTAAATGCAGCTATGATTTTTGAAGAATTTTGAAAAGGGAAAATCTTGAAAATCCCCGGTTTTCCATGTACATTAAGAAGTAACTTCAAATTCCACCTGGCAGCATGTGGTTAATGGTTGAATCTCAGACATCTACAGAATATTACAAAAAGATTACATTTAAATTTGGGAATTCTTACCTTACTTAAACTTTTAAGCAGCTGTAATTTGGCAAACCATATCGTTCGATCCCGTCTAAAACAGAAACAATTCTGAAAGCAAAATTACAGAATAGTTTTCAACAATATAACTTAAGGAATGCAAACCAACAACATCACAAGAGCATGAGTGGAACACAAGATAATGTAGTTTGTACATGTGTCCCCTATACCTCAGGGCCAAAGGCCAAGTGGTACATGTACATGGGATACCGTTCACAATATGGGGCCGATGGGTACCCCCCACGTGTCCAATCCCTTTACACACTCTAGACTATTGCTACCTAACACATCTCCCCTAGAAGTCTGTAAAGAATTCCTGAGATTTCGATCACACAATGACCAACACAAAGGGGGGGAGGTTCTCTCCGCCCCATACATGTATCTTGCATCATATGGTACTTGGGACACAGATGCACTACATTATTCTGTGTTCCATGAGCGTGAGCATAACAAATTTATCTTCAAGCAAACTTGACACAAAGTAAAGATGTTCTCAGGGCCAATCAGTATATACTGTACATGTATATGCACAAATGCACCAACTTTGAATTGACAGTAAATTTTGTAATGGTGCATTTTGCTTTTAGTGTAAACATCGTGCATTGCTTGGAATAAGGAAAGTACATTACGCAGGGTTTGACAAGGACCAGTATGTTATGTTTAGTACTCACTGAGCTGAAACTTCATCAGGTTTGTTCTTACGCAGAGGCCCCCTTCTTTAGATTTTGAGTACAGACTATACATGTACTGTGTATACAGTACAGTGTACTGGTACATGTATATGTACTGTACTAGTACATGTACATGTATGCTGACTTCCCTTCTCTTACAGACAGAAACATCATCTCTTTGATCATACATTGTACCCTGTTCTGCTTGGGTACCCTTGCATTGGAAGTGGATACTGAGTAACATGTGTATATGTACCAGGTACATGTACATGTAGTATCCTCTCTGGTACATGTACACGTACCGGTATTATAACGTACCGGTATTCCTCTGGGGTTTTCCTCCCATCTCTAAACCTGTAACTGCTTCTCATTCCTCTCTACAGGTTTGAGGAATCCGTGGTGTCATTTCCAGAAATAATTGATAATGATAATAATAATAATTTTATTTCAGTAACATGTCAATCAGCAAATTAACGCAGTACCTACATGTACATGTAAATGTACCAGTGCATATACATGTATGTATACTGCACTGATGCAGAGTGTGACCCCACCCATCCCAATAAGATAATTTTTATATAACCCTGAACAGCACTTGTATGACTCACTGCGACAACATGCGAAGAATAGGGTTGAAATCCACTACCAGTAGTTACAGAAGATACATGTACATCTGTACAACTACATTTTCAGCCTGTTAGATACAGGTCTATAGGATGATTGTTTCTTGAGACACTAAAGTGTTGATCAGGAAAATGGTCAACCAAATCTATCCTTTACATGTATGTCATGTATGTTGAAAAAGGTGCCTCTCCCTCCATTTCTTTCAGTTGAGCAAGCTTTAACATAAACAAGAAACTACACTACAGGCTAGTTACTAGTATCGAAACATGCATTTAAGCTCAACACTATTTTGTAAGAACATTTGAATAAAACCTTAACAAAATATGTAACAAATAAAAGTAGTGCATTGAAGAGAAACTAATTTATCTTTTCAATTGGCATTACAAATACATGTTATGTACATGTACCGGTATGTACATGTACATGTACGAGTATGCACAGGTAAAGGGTGCCAGTACATGTACATACTGGCCTTTAATTACATGTATCCTCTAATTATCCCAAACGATGAATGATACATCACTACCAATGGACTAAACATTAAATCTGAAATTTAATTAGTGAAGAAAGATTACACAAACTTGGAAACAAACATCAAAACAAATTTTTTAAAAAGGGACACCATAAATTCTTCACATACCTCCACTTCTAATTCGGGTATCCTGACTCTGATTTTGAAGAAGTCTCCACCGGAATCTGTTGACCCCCCTGAGCTGAGAGATTCAACTGACCCAGTATTGCCGTTAGAAAATGGAAGCTCCATGCTGCCAGACTGGGCTGTAGTCTGGGCTGCCCTTACCTAACGGTACAAAAAAACAAAAATATATTTGCTTCATGTATGTACACGTATATGTTTATATATCTGGAAGCACCCCCCTCACTGGCAAAGAACAGAAGGCGTGCTCTGCCCCATACTAGTACATACATGTAACCTATGTACCCAGGCATTGATGTGCCCAAATGGTTTTATGGGAGAGAAGGGGGGGGGGATGTCATAGCCACTATGTACACATACATGTACAGTATACTGTAGAGTATGTGTACCCTGTACATTGTATACTACTTTGTACCCATACATGGGTATCATGCAAGGACACAATCCTCAGATTGTACATGTACACAAAAGGTACATGTATATGTACATTGTACACATACATACAACTGTATCGTAAAATGCTACTGTATACATGTACAAGGTAGGGTGCATGTATAATGTACATGTATGTATACATGTAGGTCTGAGGGGTAGTCTGATTTAATGTGCAAACATGGGCTAATCTTGACTCCCAACCAGAATCAAGAATTGTCATTTCACTCCCCTGAAACAGAAAGTTGAAAACAAGCACACCCATGGTAAACCTTTACTACATTGTACATGTACATGTATTATGACATCAGGAGATACTACATACATGTAGTGAGTACATGTACATGTACCTGGTGATCATGCATCTCTTCAATGAGGCAAACCTTTCCATGATGATCTTTCCAGTTGTTCCACTATAGAGGATTTTCAGTCACATGATTTTTGATGGTTAGTGTTCAGTTTACACAGACGTACATGTACGTGGAAACGTGCACGCCTTCAAAGTCTATGGCGTACACAAATTGCTAACAGAAATACACAGATTTGAAAATGCTCGCACCTCCAGGGACATGGTACACTTCCTGATACCAGTACATGCACTTTGCCCGTCATGTTACCTGACGATGAAAACCACTATAATTTATAAATAGGTGTAGGCATTTAATTCATGGCACTGCACATGTATTTAAGCACACAAATTTAGTTTTAAATCAATTTTGTCTTACTCAACCTCAACATGCTATGGTACATGTATCAGTACATGTGCAACTTACCGGTACCTTGGTAACTACATCAACAGAATCCCATGCAAGCATCTTGACAATCAAAGGAAGGTGAGTGTAAATGTACACGTGTGTACACGTTTGTAGCAAGGTAAGAATCACCACAGTTACTATGAACCATTCATTTCCACATGAGATTACACATGCTGTAGTCGTCTCCCACTCAGGCACATCAGCCTCCACACAGGCATGCTTCAGTACAACCAATGTACATGTAGCCAGGCACAAATTACACAATGGCGACTATTCTCAAAGAATTATAGAAATACATCTGTATATGTACCGTATAAGACAGGACAGTCAGTTACATGTACTGTATATGTGCATGAATAATGCAGTCACATGCTCTGTCCCTATGTATGCACATGTGTACGTGTACTGTACTTGAGTGCTTGTACATGCACGTGTACAGTGTAGGTCTATACCTGGACAAATGTTCAGTGCGGTGCGTACCGTGCACCTGAACACGTACACTGTAGTGATGTTAAAGATTTCAGTAGACTACAAAATTATCTTCCACGTGTAAGTCAATATCGAAATTGTGTACAACAATAACCCAAATCCAGCATTTGTCAAGTGGCTGTGCCACAGAAGTCTGATAAACAGATACGACTGCAGTATGAAGTGCTGCATCACCAAGACCTCTAACCCACCACAAAACACACTGAGCACAATGCAACTAGCTACATAGGAATACCAGCAACACGTTGCAGTGGGGGTGTTCCCACATAGATATGTAATGACTCACTTCAAGAATAGGTGCCACACCAAAACAATGAATATTCATCATATAACACACATGTACTACCATATACTTTATATGCACATTCAACGTCATTAAACTGTCATCAATCACAAAGACTGTTAGTTTAATATACATGTACATGTATAATATACATACTATGTACTAATAACAGATAAAGACATTATCTGTTTAATATACACATACTGTATGCACGTATAATAAATGTCCATTACATGTACATGTACATGTACATGTACGGTACAGTGTACCATACATCTACAGATTTGTGAATATTTAATTCAAAGAATGAGGAATGTTGGACCTTAGCCATTAGCAACGCCCAACATACATGTACACATTACGATTGTCTTTTAAAAAAGAGGATACCGAGATACATGTACATGTAATTTGTTTGTTTCTTGAACGTGACTTATTACTTTTGTCAATGGAAACCATCATGTTTCATTATGACATCCACCAGTATAACACCAAAAAATTCATATTTCTTTCAAAGATGACTCAGCACAAAGTAGTGTGCATGTAATGGACCAAGTCAGAAATGGCTTTGCATCAAATACAATGTACATGAATTTGTACTGTCCAGAGATGGCTTATTTAGTCAGGATTATATGATGCCTGTTGGAATCTCCAAAATGCATGATACCCATTTTGAAGTACGAAGAACAAGGGCAGAAGTTTGCATTGAAAGAAATGGGGTGCATGTACAATGTATGTTGAAGGACACTGGGGTTAGGCAATAAGCCTCTGCATGCATGTACATGTAAAAGGGTTTTTACACTAAACGAATTCCCCGGGAAATTTCGGTCGGTCTGTTCACACTACCAAAGAAATATTTACCCCTGCTCGGGAGTAGGGTTAAAGGAGAAAACCCCAGGGATTTAACATTTTCCCAAGGGAAAAGCAACTACTGAGAACGTCTGCAGGTTTAAACTTACTGAACTTATTGAACTTTTTGCATCTGGGCTAGTGTGTTAAGCCATTATCTAAGAGGTCAGAGGGTCACAAATAGCACACCAGATAATTCACATGGTTATTTAGTACTGTAATGCAGCACATGAAACTTTCAAACTTTTCGTCAATATATTTACAGTCAAGTACCAAAAGATAAATAACAAGTGTTCAAAAATTATACATGTACAAATAATTTAATTTTAAAGAATATGTGCAAAATGAATGGTTTTATAATGTAATAAATGAGGTGTCGTGAGCAAGATGTGTTTTGCTTTCTTCTCAGGTATGTGTATTTATAATGGCCTGTGTGGTTAGGTACTAGTCTACTGTGATGCATGGCCTGCGTGTATTGTATCCCCACGTGTCGTGTTTTACTTCTATCGTTCTAAGCTTCCTTCAACTCCACTTTCCTTTCACGATTAACACCAGCACGCAAATATTGACAGATGGGCAGCCATTCTCACACTCGCAACGTCAACTTGGCATATTACGTGATGTAAACAGCAGCAGCTTGTACCTGTGCATGAACAGCATTGTGGGATTGGACTTCCATCCACAACCCATTTGGGAACTTCCGTTTACTCGTTTCCCGGGGTTTGATTGCCAGAGTGTGAAATGACCGTGCATATTCTCGGGAAATAGTGTCCCTGGGAGTTACCAAGTGGGTCTAGTGTGAATGGTTGCTGGGGTTTTGGTGGGGTAAAAATCCCCAGGATTTTTCCAGGGATTTATTTCCCGGGGATTGACTCTGCAGTGTGAAAAGGCCTCAAGTGCAGTTGTCTTTGAATTAATGATTTTGGTAGTGTACTTACTGCTTTTTGTTTTTTCTTTAGAAATCCTTCATGCTGTGCAATCCTGTGACGCATTTAGTGCAAAGCCATTTCTGACACAGTCCATTAAACCACTTTGTGCTCAGTCATGTGTGACAGATATGTAAATTTCTTGATGTCATCAGAAAGAGGACATCATACTGAAACAGATTATACTAACCATTTATCGATACATGTACATGTACAAAATTAATCAATCACACTCAAGAAACATTAATTCAGATTAATTACATGTAATCTCAGGTTTCCTTTTTAAGACACCCTAAATGTACAGAGCACGAAAAGGTCATTTTATACAACTTCAGTTGGCATCTTTCATGAAGTACATACCGGTACATGTATGATCCTGCCTCATGAGCTTGTATAAATTTCTGTTTTCTATGCGTTTGGTGGTCTCATAAATTACATATCACCGATGGTCCAAAAATTCCCACTTCAATCATGTTCACCACTCCCTAAAAAAGTCCTTTTCAAAGTGTACTGCATGGATGTCAGTTTTTTTCTACAGTGAACAGACAAGTGTTCTCCACTGTAACCAAGGGCAGATCCAGGGGGTTGCAAAGAGGGCAATGCCCCCTCCCCAAGCTAAAAACAATTTCAAAGAATGAGAAACAGCCAATTTGGGGGTCTTTTCTTACTTCCCTTTCATTAAAATGTGTGTTAAACACTCCAAAGATGTTGCCTTAAATCTCCCAGAGGCCTATTGTATAAGAGGATACAGCATGGAAAAAATGTCAGATATTTTGGCGCCTCCCTGCCAGAGTGAGTTTGGTTCAGGATCCATCTATGACTAAATCAGGATTGTACACCATTGTTCTCTTATATTGAGGGACTAATCCTTACTGATATTTGAAAGGCTGCAATGTTCAGTACATGTACATATGCAATAAAATACCACGTGACCCTTTTGCAGACACCATTTTACAGTTTTGAAAGTCTCTTATGTACATGTACAGTACATGTACTGATACATACCGTACATACACACTGTACATACCGGGTACATGAACATTGTACAATGTGCAGGTACTAATACTAATAGCTGGTCAAGTGTTCTGAACACAGACAACAATTGTTCTGGTTATGTGAGTCACACTACATGTATGATTCTGTGGTTTTGGTATGGTATAAACAATGAAGTTACCTGAATGGTATTGTTAATGCACAAAATACCCGGTACGTGTACCAGTGTATTAATCATCTGTGACAATATTCAGTTCTCTAGTAAGACACCAGTAAATAAATGGGAATCTCACCCCAAAAGGGGGGGCAGGAAACCATAACAATACTTTTTATTCATCCATGGAGCTTTTGAGAGTTTTAAATAATACCTTGTAGTCATATTGACACCTACATGTGTTCTGTGAAAATTCAACATACCATTCTAAAGCAGTACCCATTTTCCATGACAGGTCAGCCGAAAAATGAACAGACCCACTTTCAGTTGACATACTTGATGCATGCAGGCTGACAAGCATGTGGCCTTGAACTTTAAATAGCCATAACAAAAAGAACATTTTGGATTGAGTTGAAATTTCACATATTTATATATTGTGATTGTGAGTTTTCTTAAATGTACATATACATGCCATTTTTTTAAAAAAGAGGTAAGAATCAGCCAGCAGAATTTGGGGGAAAAAGTATATCCATCTATCATCTGCAGTGAGATGATTTTTAAAAAGGGCTCTTTAAGAATTAAACAAATAAGAAATATTTTTTTAACGGTACACTATACATCAAAGGTTCATGTACCGATAACTAAAGCAATGAAAAGCAAATCTCAGTGACCTGCATGTAACATGCATAATACATGTGCTATACTTGTTCTGTATTGCACTGTATAGGACAGTGCATATGGATACCAGCACTTGAACAGCAGACATGCCATTAACTTTAACGGTATGGCACAAGTCCATGGTCAAACAACTTTTCAGACTGCTCAAAAATATTTGCAATATCAAACTATATGAGTGAACCAGCAAAATAATACAAGTCCGTACATGTACATGTACATCATGTAAATCTAAGTTGAAATGGCCAGGTACATCTTATATCGAAAGAGTACAAAAAACAATGACATACAGTAGGAATATATACAGGGTACGGTGTGAATAAAAAATGGCTGACATTGTGATACCGGTACATATGTAGATAAGAGTGTATCAGTATGTAAAGTCCCATGCAAAACACTTCACTGGGCTGGCACTACCACGTTCATGTACACATGTACATGTACAGTGAACATGTCCAGTGTACATACATGTACAAGCAGTGGATTTAGCCACAGCCAAGTGATAACAATGTACATGTACAGAATTCAATTTTCTTTACAGTAATTCATAAATAAAGCACATACATTTACATACCGGTACATGTACATGTCCTGCACATGTACAGTCTCAACTTGTGGAAAGCTGGTCACTAGCAACTTTGGCCACAAAAGGGTCCCAGAACCCCTGTAGCAGTACATGTTACCCCATAACAACAAAAGACCACTTGCTCAATTGAAAACACAATGTCAGTCACACTACCCATGATGTACATGTACATGTACATGGCGAATTACCCATTAGCAAAAAAAAAACACAAACCATGAAACACAATCACACACTTCACAAAATGAAAGTTCAGGATGGGGAAAAAGAAACAAATATTGAGAACTTTCTGACCTACCAGAACAACCTTGTAGAGCTCTTTGCTAGTGGTATCCTTTGTGTAACTCCAAGGCTGAGTCGTCATAATGGCTGTCGTAATTTGAAAAGCCAATCTTTTTCAAAAAGATTGTTAATAAAGCCTCTGTCAGACTGTAAAAACAAGTCTTACACAGAAATCTTAGTTTACTTCAGGTTTGATGAAGACTTTCCAGATTACGTGTATGGGTATTCAACAGCTTCAAATGTTACAAGGAAAGGGGTGACTTGTTGCCAGAGGCCTTCAGTGATGTGCATATATTAAAATTATGGCTACAGTGAAGGAGTTTGAGATACTGGTACACATATACGTACGTGTGTATACGTACATTGTATACTGCATATACTGTGGACATATATTACCACAGATCAACTTTAAAATTTATGAGATATTCATTTGAAAATGTATCCATTCAATTTCAGACAGATTTGCACACGTGCCAGTATTTGTACATGCGCAGCTGGAACAATTCAATGCAAAGTTTGAAGATTCCAATTGTCACTAATACCAGTAGATGCAGAACCAGAGCAGACTCATTGTCACAAAGCTTCCTCTGTACATCTCAACTCACAAGTGAACATCTTAGCCAACACTTCCCGCAGCTTTTCAATTATGCAAGCCTTTCACTAGTCCTAACAGTCATTCCTGGAGTTGCTTGCCAGCTATTTTGAGTTCAAGCAAATACTGCAAATTCCTCAGATGGATGCCAGAAGATTCAATATAAAACCACAAGTACATGCAAGTTTGTTTGTCTCAGTCCAGTTGAAGCATGTTTGTTGGACAGCCATGTACTCCAGATTCTCAAAGCTGATTATGTACATGTACATAAACATGTACATGTACAAAGCATCTTCTAACTTCTCTATTACTGATGCTCCATTCATTCGTGTCACAATGAAATTTCATCTGTGAAATAATACAGTTCCAAAATCAGAGCACAGCTTCCATTGTCACTGTACATGTACAACCATGGGTGAGTCTGAGTCAATGATAAACAATATCCTGTTCAAACGATCCTGTTCATAGCAAAATTGTCATCAAGATCTTCATGGCAATTCTAAGCTGTCCTATATGTACTGGTACCACATCAGCATTTGCAGATGCTTTAGCAGCATACATGTATCTGATTGATTCAGCCTCCACTTGCAGAGATTATGTGCACCAGTACAGCAACCATCCTTCTCAATTATTTGCCCATGATCCTGTTGATGTCCACGACCTAGGCCTACACATATGTGTATCGCACGTACATTTAGTATACATCTACTGGTACATGTAAATGGACATCATTCCTACAGCCAACCACGAAGTTCTTCAGCTTGCCAGGGTAAGCCAATAGCGTTGGATTAATATTGGTTTTCCAGATGATTCCAAGTACACGCACAAGTTCAAAGTTTCAGAGAAATGCTGACAAGTTCTTCCTTGTCCATGGTGACAAGGCAGCTCAACAGAACTGGAAAGATGAATAGCAACTTATATACCGGTAGCTTTTATATTACACACAAGTACATGTACATGTACGTGTAGATGTAATCTCCAGGTACTGGTAGGTACAGAGGTATAAAACTACAAGTCCGAAACAGTGGGGTGCAGTAATGAATGCTGGCACTTTTTCTCACACTCTGGTGAAAAGTAACCACACACCAACTGTGCCAGCACTCAGCAAGCCTTAACTCTCCCACAAAGGTATCACATTACCATGGTAACGAAGCAAGGTGACCCAATAAAGTCAGAGTTCATGTGGAAAGAAGCCAACAGAGGGTGGAGTTGTGGTCTAGTCTCTACTGTATGGCCAGATGATGATGATAAGCTACAGTACACTATAATATGGTAGATGTACCAGTACATGTACATGCACAAGTACAGTACTAACCAGTGCACATCAACACAGTGGGTTTCTGACTGGTCTAATAATAATAAACTACCAGCAGACAACCTTCAACCTTGATGGATTCGGAATCACTTTACTTACTCAGCAAAGTCTCACTCTATCTTGACATTCATGTACATGTACATAGATTCTTTGCATTTGTGCAACACAGTGTTTGAATGATCCCCTGGTTCATTATAAATCACTACACACTTTTCAGTCTTTAAACCTGTTTCTATTTTGGTAGATTTTGTTTCCAAAATATGCTCTTACCGGTAGATATACATGTATGTAAGGGGCTTACTAGTACCAGTATGTCCCATAACAAAGAGGATGCACAAACAACATCATTCACTGACTGATACATGTGTGAATCAGATACCACCCGTAACCAACAGCAACCATTAATACTGTTTACTAATAACCATTTACATGTATAATGATCCAAATATCCAACAAGTATATGTATATCTACATGTACATGTACATGTACATCCCTGTACCCTGTATATCCCTGTATCAACCAGTACAAGTACTGTAGCCCCCACCGGTACATGCACAATGATCACAAAC